ACAAACAAAACAAAGAGCTGGAAGAGAATCAACAAACGTTAATACAGCAACACCCAGCAAAACAGACCCTCGCGCTGTTGTTACTGATAGTGCTGAAAGGCCAATAGACAAAAGAAATTCATACCGCAAAAGATTAAAGCACGAGTTGAAGATTAAGCGGACACGTCTAATCCTTTACATCCTCTGTGCATAAACCCAGCGTTCAGGGTCAAAGGTCAAGCTCAACACGACTCCAAAAAGGAGTTTATCTCCACGAACAAATAAAAACGGATCTTTTATTTTGAGCATCTGGAGCCGGTAACGATGCTTTTTAATGAGGAGAGCTCTAAACAGGCCGAGTTTAATTACACCTCAAATCCACCAAACTGTCATCCACACATGGCCCTCCAGCTCAGCTGGGCCTCCCATCTGACGCCGGCATGTGTGGGTTTGTTTTTGGACGTTTTCAGGACAAAAAATATCCTGACAGCCAGAAATCAAGACTAAAAACAGGGCTAACCTACAGGACCAACAGCAGTACTTGCTGAGCATATATATATATATATATATATATATATATACATACACACATACATACACACACACTTATTATTACATACAGGTACATACATATATACAAAACATAATATATACCTCCTACATTCTCTTTCTAATTTGCAAACGCCCTTTTACATTGTGTGAAAATTTCATAATTTTGTCCTTTCAGCAAAAATCAAACCATCTTTTATGTCCATTTTACCATCTTGGCTGTAAATGTGTCTCAGTATGTGCTGATGTACTAGTATATGATGAAAAATATAATATAAGTGAAAACACAGACTTACTTTGCTCTGCTTTAAGCTTTAGCTCAGCTATAGCTGCTTTTCTCACATCTCCGGCAGGAAACTTTTCCTCAAAAGTAGAACAGTTTCTTGTAAAATGTCTCTGAACGTTCCTTTTTTTACGAGGCTGTCAAACACTAAAAAGTCACAAGGCTGAAGTCAGTTTCTTGTTCGAATTTTCCCGTTCCACCTTAAATGGTGCAGCAGTTACATTCAGACGCCATTTAAGGTGGAACGGGAAAATTCGAACAAGAAACTGACTTCAGCCTTGTGACTTTTTAGTGTTTGACAGTTTCTCGCAGCAGATTAAACGTATCAGGAAACCAGCTGGAGTGATTATTAATACAAATAAGTCCATTCATAAGGCACAACACAGGGGAGCTAATCAGAACAGAGCTCATTTACATAGAGCAATCTTAAAGGCAAAGTAACGAAGAGAGTTTATAATAAAATACATGTATGAAACGTTTTTATGACTATCATTTAAAGAGCCCATATCATGGTAAACCAAATTTCCACCACTTTTATAATAAGGTTTGATATAGAACGTAAACACTATTTAAAACATACTGTTTTTTATGTAATTTGTAACACCCCCATTTACACAGTGTGAACATTTCATAATAAATAGAGTAAAATAAGTGTTCAAAATCTTTTTATGCTAACTTTCATTATATGATTTTGGAGATTCTGTTCTGGTTTTGTTTGTTCTGACAGTGACATACTACACTATACATTCTGCATTCTGATTTCTTTTACAGTGCAAGGAAAAAAGGCTGATGGCTGATTTTTACCAGCCTATCCAAAGCTTTACGGGCCAAACGAACACATTAACACATTTCCAGAACTGCTTATTAGCCAAACTTGCAATATGAACAACATTATTAGCTTTTTACTGGGCCTTTAAACTGACATTGAATTACTTTCACTTTTAAATCAGCTCCACATTTCAATAACACAGAATAGAGCGCTACACTGAAAGTAAGCGATGACTGACCGTTCAGCACAGTGACCGCAACACTAAATAAAAACATAAATAGGCTGATTGCTGATTTTGTGTTTTGAACAAACCAGCCATTTCTGATGGGACATATGTTTGACCCCACGTTCCGGCAAGGTATAAAAACAAGCATATGCGTGCGGATGTCTGAGCCAGCGAGGCAGCGATGTTTATGACTGTGGTTTTGTGTGTTTGTGTGATGGCAGCGTCTCTCTATAGCTGTTGTGCCAGGTGTTGGCATTGAGAGATCTGAATTAGAGCCAAGATCAGCCCACACTCATTACTGGGCACCGGGCACCAGACACACACACACACACACACACACACACACGCGCACACACACACACACATACACACACACACGCTCACATGCTTCTAATCCTCAGGGGTAATAATCTGAGGGAATATAATCTGTGGAGCAGCGTTTATTCCAGACTCTCTGCACTGCTGTCACTTCCTTCACAGTCTCGTGTGCAGTCAGGCTGACGCTTCCTCACAAACACTGGCCTGTAGTGACTGATGACTGCTGCACTACAGCACAGTGGCATCTTCAAAAGGCCATGGTATTTAAGAATCACAAGGGCTTAGCGCTGCACCGTATGGGCATAAAATACGACGCTGGACAAAGCTGTTGGATATCACTGTGATGATATGAGAATTATATTTATATAATGTATTATATATTATATAAATGCTGTTGGAACAAAAACCTCATAACTCCATTTTTGTCGTTTTTCAGTTTTTGATATAATTTGAAAATGCCTGTTATCCTTTGCATTGTGTGTAAGTTTCATGATGAATGGACCAAAAGAATTGACCCAAAATGACCTGGAAAAAAGTCTGGTTCCATTGACTTCCATTAAAACTAAAGTAGGTTTTTTCCTTCTCCTGTAAAGTTAATGTTTTGGAGATATGAGGTTTTGTTCTGACATATGTATGTTATATTATTATTAAAATAGTGTGCCTCTGAGTGGATGCGCCTCAAGTACAGATGTTTTATTATTTCTGGCTGTGTAAACAGAAATTTAAATAACCCCTCCTTTAAGCAAACAGCAAAATACCAAATTATAATTTTTCAATATTAGTAATTTTCATTACTAATAGCTACTTACACTAGAAATGAAAGTGCTTTCCTTGGTGTACTGAAAGGCTGAGAAACAGTCAGAATTCCCTAAACATTCTCTATAAAGGCTACAAAAACAAATGCATATACATATATATTTACATTTGCTACACAGACACACCAAAACAAACCTTATGGTGGCCCGTCTTTACGGTGAGGCACGTTTGTTGTAACAGTAACCATTCCTGCTTCATACAAAAAAAAGCAAAGGAAAGCTTCAAAGCTTCAAAGGAAAGCAGTGATGGGAGTTACTTTCACTTAATGTAGAGCTATTTGATGCCTGAATTGCCAAATTTTAGGCTACATCCACATTACAAGCCTCATTGCTCAAATACCTTGTTTAGGTAAGTGATTCAAATCTGTCATTAATGTGACGAACCGGCGTCCTGAAACGACCCTCATGAGCACATCCTACTCAGTAACGTCACATGAATGAATCACGTTCATCATCAGCACAAACTAACGAGCAGAACGAGCTTCGCTGAGAAGATAATTAACTCTGATCAGCTCTCAGCTTCATTATTAGAGCGAGACGAAGGAGAAAAAGGTGAGATGAGCTGCTTTTCCACCGTTTACAGGCTTTAACTTCTGTTCGGCGCTGCTGCCATGGTAACGCTGAATGATGGAGCAGTGGAAAAAAAGCCATGAATTCCGATCTGAGAGTCACATTAAGGTCGCATGGCCACGAATTGGATACGTATCCGATCTAGGACCACACATGAAAGTGGCTCAGGTCGGATTTGAAATGATCAGACTTGTGTGTCCACACAGCTCTGAAAACATCAGATCTGAGTCGCATTAGGGCCAAAAATCAACCTGATAATGTGAACGTAGCCTAAAGGGCCTCAGGTGGCTCTGAGAATGTGGGACTAGTTAACTAATAAGCACCTTCATATCTGTGGCATTAACATTGTCTGATTTCCTTTGAACACCCACAAATCAGAGGTCTCGGCGAACATCGTATGAGGTCGTAAGTACTAACACAGCAGCAGTAAACACATCCATAAGCTTTTACAGCAGCTGGCGGTCTGAGAGCGACATTTAATGGTAATAAAACAGGAATCAGCTCAAACGCTGTTCAACAGCGCTGCTGACACGCTCAGCTCAACACTACAAACACCTTGATGATTCAAAGCCCTGGGGAAACAGCTCATTACAGGCAAGACAAGCAGACGACAGCGCAGTCAAACAAGCCCGCAGCGCTCATCCTCCTTTTCTCCGACGTCCGCACACAAGCAGGACACGAAGAGACGGCGGCCGACGGGGCGGAAATGCCTGTTTGAGGTAATGCTAATTAGCCAGCATTGATCTGTTCCTGATGAACCTTTATTTCGCCGCTTAATGGGCAAAGCAGAGGCGTCATTCAGACAGACACTCATTAGCACTCTGTCGCTAAAGCTAACTGTAGGGTGTTTTACTATAAAGTAAACCAGACATGGATCCGATCTGATGCCCAGAATGAGGACTGCGCCTGCAGGGAAAGCTGGGATTGGATATTGGAGGAGAAAAAAGAACAGATACAACCCGATTCTGCAACAAACCAGGCAGTTATTTCATTAGATTAGGTTTTAAGGGTGTAACGGTTTCAATGCCAGCTGCTTGCTCTCTACTGAGGATCTATCATTCATCATCGTTCCCAAAAAACGGGCATCTCTGTGCATCCTATCAGAGTAAAGGGGGTGGGGCTAATGCCACAGACACACCCAATCCCTAATTGACTGGGCTTTTTTCTGATTAGCATGTAAATTCTAGGGGGTGTGACTTTTGTAGCTTAATTAGAGCTCTGTAGAGATATTTTAAACATATTTAATCAAAAATCAATCAATAAATAAAAAATCTCTTTTTTAAAGAGTTTACCTGAAAACAAACGTTTCAGCATTGGTATCAAAGTCAGAAAAGAAAAGGCAGAATCGTGCCATCGCTACCTGAGAAGAATGTGTGTAATTAACACAGAAGTTAATGTGAGATTTCCATCGCAAATATGATTCTATTATTATGGAGAAGAAAGGGATTGTCATCATCATCATCGTCATCATCCTCATCCTCATGATCCTACCTGTGCGTAGTCTCTCTCCAGCGCAGCCTTCTTCTGGCTGTACGTCCTGTCAAAGGCAAACAGAGAAAAGCAGTCATCAGACATTATAATATGACCTCGGCTGACCTCATACATATTCATAACCCTCCTGTGGAGAGCCATTATGTTCTCTACCTCCACAATTTTACTCCACTTAATCTCTGCCCTCAGAGCATCAACAGGCATTTGTCTCTTTCCGTCGATCTTAGCAAGTAAAAATATCACAAATCTAGTCAATATTTCGTCCCCTTGGAGTTATAAGGTTCTGCCTGCGTTCTGAGCCGTTTTGAGATATTGAACTTCAAAGATTTTGCATTCTAAATAGCAAAACTGATAAGTGGATCACGTCTCTTTCATATGCATAAATAACAGACACCCTAAATTTATTCTAAATGTACAATATCAAAATCCTATCAGATTTGTAAATGAGTTTTTTGGAACAGGTCAAATGCAGACAGAACCTTCTAATCCTGAGAACTCACTCTCTGCTTTTATAAGGTTCTGGAATTACAAGGTTCTATCTGGCAAAACATTAATAACACCAAAATGTCTTATTTTGGGAGAAAGAAGAAAAAGAGAAGATGGATGAACAAATTAAATTAATGTTTATGTTGTAATTAAGACCCCATCAATTCAAATATTTACTATTTATTTACCTTTAAGGCTTAATATTTATAAAATTTGAGACAATAAGACTTTTTAAAAGAGCTGTAAGAAGACAGGCAGAGTTTCACCAACCTGTTTTCATGTTTCATAAAGTTTTATGAACTTTTCCTGCAGTTACTGAGCAGAGCGGCAACAAAGATGACAAAGAAACAGAGCCTGATTGGTCCTCTTGTGTGTATTTGAAGTGCTGATTGGCTCACAGACAGAACCTTAGAGAACTAAGTTAGAGTTTGATTTTGGAGATAGAACCTTGTCGTTTTCTGGATAAAGAGGCCCAAAATGCACACAACTTGCACAATGCACAAAACACCTCACATAATATTAAGAAGTCAACCAGTACATGACCAGCAAACACAGTTCTGAACAGCTAATCACACAAAAAATCATCATATTTTTCATTAAAACACTTAAAGGTTTACTTAATCGCAGAAAATAAGTGTTTTGGCAGTGACAAATCTCCAAAAGTGGAGAATTTTGAGCAACAGCAATGATGTATCTATATAACTGATACATTAGCATTCAAAATTGAATCACTGTTAAAATAATAAAAATGTTGCAGGTACATGTATGAAATGTTTCTATTATGATCATCATTTAAAGAGCCCATATCATGGAAAACTGAATGTCCCTCATTAAGGCTTTGATGTTGTATGTAAACACTGTTAAAGCTTCAAATACTGTTCACTTTCAAGTCCATACGGTCCATATACAGAAACTACACTGCCCATTTTACATCTGTTTTTGTGACGTCACAAAAATCAACACATTTTCGTATTCCCACCAATTCAGCCTGCAGCACATGAGCTCTGTCCATGTATGCTGTAGCTACAAGAAGTCAGCTCTGAGTGCTTTTTTGTAATGAGGCACCATTCAGGCCATCCAGTCAGAACAGAGCTCATTTGCATACCTCAGTCCTAAAGGCACAGCAACAAAAACAGCCTGTTTAATTCTGAGGGACACAGAGAGGTTGGAAAATGATCATAGGGGCCCTTTAATAACAGCTGGTGTTTAACTTACAGTACATCAGCATTTCAATCTACACTGTATGATTACTGTTGACTACGATTAATACGAGTGATTAGACAAATACTTTACCAGTTTTTGGCTGGCGCTCGACTGGTTTGCTTACTAGCCGGAAGGCAGGATGTGGTAAAAATGCTAAAACAGCTGAGATAATAAAGTGCTGCTGAAAAAAACCACAGACTGAAAAGACCCCCCACCCCCCAGAAAACATGGCAGCAGGACAGAGAACGATGAAAAACTGTCATATTTTAGCAAGTCATCTTTCTTTTCCTCCCCATTCCATCAGCTCTGCCTCTGCCTGAGCTCCTTCTCTTCTTCTTTCAGTAACACAGAGCAGTGTGCAGTGGTGTGATCCCCTTACAGACCCCAGGGGAACGCTAGGCTTATCATTCAGTTACTAATCTTAACACTTACTACTCTGTAACTACTATTAATTACTCACTAAGGCTGCACGATATATGGTGCCTATGTTAATCCTTATTGCAGTTTTAGCCATATGCAATACATAAATTGAACAAGGGTTCAATTCATAACACTGGACTGAGTCATTAAAGACGCGCTGCCACCATTTTGGTAGGTAAGCTGTAACTCTGATGGTGCTATGATAGAGCTCGTCTCATATCGCTGCGGCAGCAACAACCCTGCAGGTGGATGAAGACCAAGCAAAACAGACCAGAATGGCTGTGAAAAAGATGACAATATATTTAAATACAAGGAACGCTGGAAGGAGATCAGCTTGACTGGTGGACTGGATCCATATAACCTGCACAGCTACCAAAACTGCCAAAGCTCTTAAACAGGAAACACAATTAACAAAGACCGTTTCTTATTCGCCGGCATCTTAATTCGAGCTTTCCGTTCCACCTTAAATGGTACAGCAGCACTATTTACCGTGCTGGTTTGTGGTTTGGGACGCAGCAGAAAACATACAGCGGGAAATTTCAGCTGTTCAGATTCCAGCTTTCATTTCTTATTGCTACAGCAACAAATCAAATAAAATCAAGGCAATACTCTTAAACGTTTTGGTTATGATGCTTCAAAAATTCTCAAAAAATGCTTTTTACTGCCTTTGCCACTGCGCTAGTGCTTGGACTTCAAGTTGCCTACCACAGTGGCGGCAGTGCGACTCTATGATGTCATCAGAGTACTAAGAACAGGCTCCAGTGATATCTGGGAGGAAAACGTACACAAGACAAAACGATTTGGGGTGCAAAAGTGGCGATTTTCAAAAAACACTGTTTACCTTCCCCATACAGAAAACCAGCTTAGACCCGGAATTCCTAATATGGGGATGTGCTGTGAGCATCCTGACCAATCACAGTTCTAGATAACTGTTTCTGTGGGCATTTGGATGAATCGAGGTATTCATGTAATCTAACAGAAGTCAATTACTGCAGTCAAAATAATGCAGGCTGAACTTCACAGCAATGATTCAACAATGTGCTTTTAATATACTGCAAATGCAACACTGACAATATAATCGCAATACCAATATTTTGTCCATATTATGCAGCTTTAATAAGTAGTATGACACCAAAACGTACGTTAGTTATAAGACCCATTTATGAGGACTAGATTTCAGTCAGTGGAGATTTAGCACTGGAAACACTTTCTAGTTTAGAGCAGGGCTGTCAAACTGATTTTAGGTAATGGGCCACATTATTTTTGTGTTATGTGGCCCCATTACCTAAACTCAGTTTGACAGCCCTGCTCTAACTAAAAAGTGTTTCCAGTGCTAAATCTCCACTGACTCTGAAATCTAGTCCAAGATTAGGCTTAATCCATGTCAGAGAACCCGACACGCAGAGTTTAAGGGGTTAAAGGCACACTTAGTAAGTTTGCTCTTATGCAAGGCAGGAATTTCCGCACAAACTCCTCTTTTCCACAGACCCCAGCGAACCCCTTTATCGGCCAAACAAGCGCTACGCCGAATCCAAACATGGCAATGTGCTTACATACTTCAGTGGGGGGGCTGCAGGGGGGCTTGTGTGGTGCAATCACACTGCGTCTCATTTAGCAGTGGGTCTAATGGCTTTGCCCCTTGCAGAAATCTCTCCTCTCTGCGTCTGTCCCGGACGGCCGTTATCGCTGCCAGAACGCTTCAGCAGCTCTGAGGCAATCACTACTACAGCCTTCGACTCCAAAGGCCCTGTCTCTGTCTGTCTGCTTCAGAGGACAGCCAGGAATTTCAGCATTACGTAATGCCTGTACAGCGTTAACCCTTTAGAGCCTCCTTAAATTTTAGCCTTAAGAGGCTGAAAAGCAGTAGCTGCTGAGAAACCACTGAATTAGACACTTAAATTGGTTCTATATAGGAACAAAACGGTTCTTCTATTGGTACAAGCTTAATATCCACACTTGACAAAGATGGTTGTTCAAGGGTTCTTTAGTATTAAAATTAATTTACTATTATTGTCAAGCTTTACTAATTTACTATTACCAACCATTTCATGCTTAAATGGTTCTTTGCATGGTAAAATGGTTCTTCAGACTGATGAAGAATGTTTTCTTTGGTTCTAAACAGAACCTTTTTGAAAAGGGTTCTATATAGCACCAAAAAGGCTTCTGCTGTTGTCACGATGTCAAGCTTGTAGCAATAGAAGAACCCTTGTTGGTGCTATATAGAACCCTTTATTCAAAGAGGTTCTATACAGAACCATCTACAGCACATTCTCCATCAATCTGAAGAACACTTTAATCGTGCGAAGGGTTCGTTGAGCGTTCATGGTTCTATGTAGAACCATTTTCTTTACTAAAAAACCCTTGAGCCACCATCTTTTTTAAGAGTGTTGTTACAGTTGAACCTTTCGGTACTACGTAGAACCATTTTCCAACAGTCCCCATCAATGTAAAGAACCATTTCATCATGCAAAGAACCATTTAAGCATGAAATGGTTCTATACGGGACTCATGGTTCTAAATAGAACCGTTGTCTTTGCTAAAAAAACCCTTGAAGATCTTTTTTAAGAGTGTCGTTACAATGGAAGAACGTTTTGGTGCTATGTAGAACCATATAAAACATTCTCCAACAATCTGAAGAACCGTTTCACCATGGAAAGAACCCTTTAATCATACAAAGGATTCTTTGAGTGTTTGTGGTTCAATACAGAACCATTATCTTTACTAAAAAAGCTTTGAACCACGATCTTTTTTAACAATGTCGTTACAATAAAAGAATGTTTTGGTGCTATTTAGAACCATAGTCAAAAAGATTCTATATAGAACCATATAAAACATTCTCTATCAATCTGAAGAACTATTTTTATGTTTTTTTTTATGTTTAAGCATAAAATGGTTCTATATAAAACTAACTGTTCTAAATAGAATCATTGCCTTTAG